CAGCATGGAGCATGGAGCATGCAGCACATGGAGCATGCTAATTTTTGGCTTGGCTACAGTTTCTCTCTGGTATTTGGACGTACTTTAATTTATTTATGCAACCGAGGCACATCAATCTTGTGGTAGCTTGTAAGTAGTATAGTATCTACCCTCTCTTTCTTTGGGAGTATCTCTCCCGTGTGTGTGTGTGTGTGTGCCGCCAGGCATTGGTGGGTGGGTGGATGGATGCCGTAACATACGCTGTTGCCATGGTTTGTTGAATTTGAGTTTAATGACGTGTAAAAATGTTTTCACGGCTTTTGATTATATTTTACCTTAAGCGCCGCTAAAGTTTGGGTACCCCCCATATGCTCCCATCCAACACACACACCCATGTACATACATATACGTTTGAATATCCCTTCCGTTTGCCATTTGCAATGAATAATGTCAACGTCGCGTCTCTGTTTTGCATATGAATACCTTGTGGCATCATCGCTGATTAGCAACGGCGACTGACAATGGATGCTGGATGCCGTTTGGCTGCTGCTGCTGCTGCTGCGTGGCAGCGGAAACATTTTAATGACAATCCATGCCTCACTCCCACCGCCACCAAAATAACATCCATTACCCCTACCCCCACCCCTCCCCTTTTAACTGTCAGTTATCGTTTTCAGAGTATGTGTATATAAACATATTTGGTTTTTTCTGTTGTTGTGTTGTTGTTGTTGTGGTGAGGTGAGGCTACGCAAGGTTTGGCAGACATAATGCCTGTGTATGACTTAATTAAAGTTTGGAGTTTCGCGTTTTACATTAATTTTGATTGCTGCACATTGCAAAGTTATGCTGATGACAAACTTATTAAAGTTTTTCCAAGCGTAACGTAACGAAGGGGTTTCGCTTCCGATACCAAAGCTGCAGAGAACCCCGAAAAATATACAGTCAAACTTTTGCAACGCTCCTGCTGGCACACAACTATGGACGAGTAGTTATGCAATAATTCCGGAAAAGTGCCAGCAACACATTGCTTAGTTTTGCTTAGTTTATTTATTTCTATTTTATTATTTATATGAAATTGTTGTGTGAATTAAGCAGAAAATATTTGCATATACTTCCATAAATCCATAACCCTATCAACGCTACAGTAGAAAAGTATCTTAGTTAATCAAGTAATGAAGAATAAAATCCTCCACTAAGAAATATTCAATTTAGAGTAGCTTCACTGTAGCATACTTACCAGCGTCGCCGAAGATCAACATTCCGTATTTACTCTAATCAATTGCGATATCTTGTTGCCGCCCCGTCGAGTGTAACGGTAACTGGCATTGAATGGAAGGGCACACACAATGCTGGTTTGCTGGCCAAAATACCCGTACCCTCCACCATTCACATTGCTCAGCTGGCTAAGAAAATTATTTTTAATGCTTGTTGGCAATGCCAAAGTTAAGCACAAAAGTTTCCATGTTGTAAACAAAACAATGCGCTCTGTTGACAATTGTTCCCAGGCAGCGAGCCATCCAGCAAGCCATCTAGCCAGGCCAGCAGCTGCTCATGCTTCTGGCTCCTGGCACTGGCTCTGGTTCTGGCCATCCCCCCCATTTGCTTCTTCCCCGTATTTGTGTGAGTGTTTTGACTTATTTAATGCTCGAGTAAACCTCTAAAAGAATGGAAATCAAAAAGGCATGACGAAGCTTTTGATACTCTTGCAGATCCATATTGCATATTACCAAGACAGCTCGATGCTTCCAGTATTTTTTTGTCATTATAGTGATCCAGCTACAGTGATCCTGAACTGAAGAACTAGCATAGCAACAAACAGACGGACGGATGGCATAGCTTTATAGAAAACATCTTCCCAAAATCGTTTAACCCTCTGCAAGGGTATATTTTTGCTACAGGAAAAAAAAACAATAGCACAAAGTCATAGAAAATACTTAGTAGATGGTAAATACGTGGAGTGTTTTGTACTTGTTGCATTACCCATGCCACTTACCACTTGGCGCCAGGCAGCTCCTTCTGTACGCTCTTCCTCTTGCTGCCGCAGACGCCGCATTGTTTCTGATGCTAAATGCAGTTAAGTGTAGTTGTGGGGGCTGTGGCAGGCGCAGGTGATATTATTGACCAAAGTTAAACAATTGCAAACAGTTACAAGTCACAACAATTGCGACACTTTTTAGTTTTCCAACTCGCTGGCGCTGGGGCCTGGTTAGGGCTTCTGTGTTGTGTTCTGTGTGTTTCTGTGTGGTATTTTCTGTGGTGCCGTTTGCTGTGTCTGTGTGTGGCATGTTCTTGTAATACCTTATCAAATATAAATAAAGACACTTTGTGCGGGCTTAGGGCTTACCTTTTTGGGGTTTTTCCCTGTTGCTTATTCTGTTGCAAAAAGTTAATCAAACAAACTTTCTACCGGGGAAGCAAGTGCACTTCTAATGCAGATGCTATCACTGAAAATATACCATTTACACGTTTATAAATTGTTTTTAAATTGATTTTGCAATTTACTGAAATATAACTATCGCTATATCTCTCTATCTCTCACTCATTCTGTGCCTGCAGTTTGGGGCATATTTAAAAATGGTAAGCCAATGCCCATCTCTGTGCTATTTATTATGCCTTGCTACTGTTGCTGCAGCCAAATATCTTTCTTGTGGAGCCCCCCTTTCTCGGTCAAAGAGACAATGGAAAATTCCGAAACGTATTTGATGCACACAGAGAATGGCTTAGACAATGGCACAGGTAGCTTAGGTTAGGTGTGTATTGGTTCATTAATTTCCACAAATGAAGCAACTGCAAATCCATTCGCCAGCTTCGGGTAATAATCAACCAGCCATTCAACAGATAAAGGTAGCTTAAAATTTCCAATTTCCAGTTGCTATTCAGCACAGCCAACACACACTCAAAGTCATTGAAGGGGGAAATGAACACACAACATAGTCCATAGACGTCCATAGATACATATGTACATAGTCATACGTAATGGACAGTCCTTTTTTGCCGCTCCAACTGTGACCAACAACAACTTATTGCGGTTACAAATTGTGGCAAAAGCTATCAATGATATTATCAACAGACAGACAGACAGACGGAGAGAACTGGGAAGAGTAGAACAGAAACCTAAGCGGAACAGAGTCCAAAACCCCAAATCGAAACGAACGTATGCAAGCCCAATTACATCCGGTTGCAGTTTCAATTTCAATTTGCCGTGGCCAACGACGAACAATGGCCAATGGGTTAGGATGGTTAGTCTGCTGTGTGGGCCCCCCCGCCCAAAAAGGGCCAAAGGATATAAAGCCCAAAACGCCTCTGGCATGCACTGCCGGCACTGCTGCCGTTGCTGCTGCTTGGCATAATATTAATTTAAATTAGACAAAATACCAAAGCCCCCAGGTATGCCCTCTGATGTGGTGATGTGCGCCATGCAGTGCCCTGTGGGGGGTGCGCGGTGTATGCAGGCTCCAAATGCAATTTTGGCATTTTGGTTGAGTGGGTTAGGATGGAGAGCAGTTAATAATGGCTGTGCACTGCACTCTATGTGACCTGTGGGAGCATCAAATTTACTGAGCTCCAAATTTTTGGTTTCTTTTCAAATTTAAGTAAAGACAAAAAAAAAGGATTTTGTATTTATTAAGGAACCCTAAAATACGAGCATTTAGCAATTCGTGTTTGGTATGATGGTATTTAATAATTCATAGAAGTGGGTAACATTTAAGTCGTGTGCCCGCACAACTACTCGTATTTGGCGTTTTGTCTGGTGTAGCGTGAAATTTCTAATTTGCCAATGCAATTCTATATTTTGTATAAGGGCAACGCAACCGGAAATTCCGACTGACCTGCCTAATTATCCAGAAAATGCAGTTAATACGACAAAATAAAAGGAACAATGGCAACATATGGGGGGGAGTATGCAAACTGGGAAGAGAGAACTGCTGTTGTGTGCATTTGTTTATTTGAAAATTTGGAATGCATCACTTAATTGCATTAATATACATCGATCTGACATATGCAAATATATTTTTGGGAATTGCCACAGCTGCCCTGCCCTGTCCTGTCCTGACCCCCTTCCCCCACCGATAGCAATGTTTTGAATATTCTCGCGTTCGCCACCAAAATTTGTCTGGCTTTCAACAGTTTTTTTTTCTTTTTTTTTGTGGTCGCCATGAAATTAGCAAGCCAAATTGCTGCCATTGACGGGTCAGCAAATTTTTCTTCTAATAATAGAGTTGTTGCCAATTAACACGCCGGCACACCACACACACACAAACAAAAACACACACAAGTACGCGATAAGGAGCACGAGGAGGGACACACCCGTACGTCCACGCATGCAGAAGACCGAAACAGATTTCCGCTTCCGTTTTGCATTAGTCGCTTCATGGAACTACGTATTCGGGTGACGTTCGTTGCTGCCGCACATAATTTATGGAAAATTGTTTGCATTTAATTGCATGGTTTAGCCCCCATGTTGTTCTTGTTGCCCACATTGTTATGCATAATTCATTTGGGTGTGGAGCTGGTCATGTGAATGGGTGGGGTGTTGGGTGTTGCAAGTGAGTGATGAATTCGCTCTAATTAACTGCAACTCATCAGCTCATTTATCCAATGGCCTGTCTAGTCGTCCAACGAGGTACGAGATATACGTACACACACCCACACATCCATTTGTACGTGTAGTTGTACCATTTATGGCCGCTGTCTCAGCTGACAGCTAAATGCTTGGCCAGTGTGGACAGACTTTGGTTTGGTTAATAATGCAGTATTTGATGGACGGCTTTATTAAGATTGATGGGAGAATGCATGTCAATGTCAGCACAAAAAACAAATTTAAAACTCAAAAACTACAAATAAATCTAATAATTCATTTTATCAATGTTATTAAAGGTCACAAATATTTTATATTTTATACAAGTGTTACCCTACAGCAGCTTGGAATTAAATTTCACGATAAACTACGTTTTCCAACACTGGATGTGCCATTGTCAAATTAGTAAAAGGAACCTTTTCAGCGTTTAACTGGTGATAAATTAATCTGTTTATTCTCATTATTCAACTGAACAGGGGCCAGAATCGAATTTATTTCTCGGCTACACGAAAGTTTTCGGTTTATTAGCCAAAGCAAGTGCATTACACCGCATAAAAAACAATTGCATTGACAGAAAGCACGCCACCGAAGTAAAAGCTGAAAGCATATAAAGAAAATTAAAACAAAAAAAACTAATCGTGCAAACGAGATGAGCGATTCGCAAGTTAATTTGGGAGAGTTCGCCGAGGCCGAACGCATCTGTGGATGGATTTTGGACCTGTGCAACAAGGAGGATCGCCCCGTGGCCATGCTGGAGCTTTGCGAGCGTCGCAAAAAAATCGGAACACTCGGTCCGATGCTGTGGCAATCGTTTGGTGCTGTGTCCGGCATTTTGCAGGAGGTGATTGACATGTATCCGGCAGTGTCGGCCAACAATCTGGATGACCAGCAGTCGCAGCGCATTTTTGCTGCTCTTGGCCTCTTCTTGTCCATGGCCAAGCATCCGAGCACTGGAGTGGTGCTGATGCGCACCCAGTTCCTGTACTTTCTGGTGCCGCTGCTGAATCTGACCCAGAAAACGCGCCCCATCGAACACTTGCGTCTCTCGGTGCTGATCATCATCTGTGGTCTGCTGAAGAGGAACACAACGGAGATCATTTGTTACACAATTGCCGCAGAGCTGATCCCTCAGCTACTGCGCCAGCTGGAGCTCGGTTCGAGTATGTGCAAAATACTCTCTTCGTTCATTCTATACCGCATCCTGGACAGTGCGGTGGGCCTGAAGTTTGCCACCCGTCGTCTGGCCCGTCGCACCCATCTGATCCACACTTTGGGCCGCGTCATCCATCAGCAGACGCTGGAGCCGGATCCGCGTATTCTGAAGCATGTGCTGCATATCTACACGCGTCTGGCCGACAATCCCCAAAGCCTCGAGATGATCCAGCTGCATTTGCCGATGCAGCTGCGCAACGGCTTCTTTTGCCTGGACAATTTTCCCATTTATGACACCGTCAAGTCCGACCTGCAGGCGCTCAATCAGAAGGTGGCCATTAATCCCATTAACAGTAAGTATTTGCATGGGATTTTTACCTGCTTTCGAAGAGCTCATTATTTTTTCCATTGCAGTGCACATAGAAGAAGCCTTTTATTCAATTAATTGACGCACTCGGCCAGTTTAAACCTCGACAAGTTTACCTTTTTTTTTGTACTCAACCTTCATGTAATTTGTCTTGAGAATATACTCGTGTGTCCCGACACCCAATCGTATCAGGGGCCGGCCCTGGCATCAGCATGTAAATTGCATTACCTTTTTCTCATTTTTGTTTTTGTATGGATTGGGGAGGGATCGCTCGAATTGGTTTGCCTGGAGGGGCATCAAGTTTGCGTAATGCAATAAACAGCTCGTAAATATTTTGATACCAATTTTCCAGCGTAATTGACTCAACGGTACTTTGAATGTCAAACAATAAATTCAATTACCAATCCATAGCCCCAAATGTGGACCCCACTCTGTACCACACACACACACACAATCTGAAGACACATCAGTGAAGGGAATGGGGTAGCAACGCTTAACCCTACCGTGCACGTGCTACGGCTCCGTTCTGACATGGATATGCCGAAAAATCCTCGAAGGATGAAAATGGGACTGAGACTGGGGGGCTGCTGTAAAACCAAAGCAAGCGGAAAATCAACGCACAAGTCGATAAACATTTGTATGAACAGCCAAAGAAAGCAGAGAGCAAACAGCCCGGCCAAAAAGGAAAACCAAAGAATCAGTTTTGTAGTTGTACGCAGTGAGCGGGGCAGGGGCAGACGCAACACCCAGGGTTGATCGCTGCCACAGCGTAAAACAATTTCATATAAAAACAAATGATTCGTGGGTCGCACATAAACAAAGCGTATCACAAAGCTGGAAGGGGTGAGTCATGCCATATACTTAGAAGGGGTAGAACCAAAGAACAATATAAGAATACTTATATTGTCTTTGGTAGAACGATTCCGCGGCCAGATCAGAGCTCTGGGGAAACGTCTGGCAAGAACTGAAAGGAAGAATAATATGTTAATCTTTCCAAGGAATGCTGGTGATAGTGCATATCCGTAAGGCTAAAATATTACAAAAGAATATGCCAAGCCAAAGCGGTTAATAGAAATATTTATTAAGGTACTGAATTTTTATTTTTTTATTATTTAAGCGTCGAACCCGTACATACAAAAATAGTAACAATAGTATATAACCAAACCCCCGTTCTATACGAAACGAGGAGATTTACAAAAATAACTTATTCTCCTATTGGTTGGGGTACTTTATATTTCGCCAATGGTTTTTGGCAAAGCGAACTCTAATATCCGGAATGCTTCTAGGAAGCCTTAAGATAAAGAAAAATATATTTAAATTGAAATTTGGGAAATATTCATATAGATCTTTGAAATGAAAGTAATATTTCAATTGTAAATAATTAGAGCGCTCTCCATGGACGCTCGTAGAATGAGTGCTTTTCCAGTCAGATAAGGCCAAAGACTGAATGAACGAAAGGGATAGAAGATTGCTTTATATGTCGTTTATTTAGTCTGTGTCTTATACTTGTAATCTTCCACCTTCTGGTATGCTCATATGTAACACTATCTCCTGGTATGAAAGATCACCCCAAAAGCCAACAGTCCAGTCCAGCTAGCCCACCTAGGTAGTGAAGAGAAGAGGATAAGAGAATTCCCGAAACCCCTTCGGGGAGTACCGTTTATGGTGCACAAATTGAAATTTATAATAATGTTGCAGCCATGTATAACCAGAGCTTCGGTTTTATCGAGGACCACCACATACACAAAAATAAATAAACAGAAACAACAGCCAACAGCACGGCGATGAGGGCAACAACAATGACAGTCAAACAATGCAAAATCAATTTAAATTTTCATCTCTCCAACACACACAGCCGGGCTGGCTGGCTGGCTGGCGGAAGAGGGAGGAAACGAACGGTCGTGGAAAATGGGGAGGGAGGGAGGAAAGCGCACACAAAATGGGTGAGAAAATCAGTAAAGCAACCGCAATCTCTTACCAAATTGTTTCGAGGGTGCCGTGCCGTGCCGTGCCCTCGATTTTTCCTCTTCTGCCGCCACGCAACTCAATCATAAGTAAATATCTCAGGCACACACACACACGCACGTGAAAATAAATATAAAAAAAAGGAAAAAAAAGCAGAGGGGCAGAGGGTTACCTCTCGGAAAAAGTGGCAGGCAGGCAAGCTTATTATGCCCTCGGGTGAAATATAAGCGGGAAAATGGAGCAGCACAGCGCAGCGCAGCGGCTGGGCGAATGGGTAAAGAAGTATCGGGTTGGCAGGCAAGACACGTTCTAATAGATTTTTCCAGCCTCTCGCCTTTTGACGCTGCCAGGCCATACAAGTTACACATGTTGCTTTTGTTTGGCTTCCTGTCACACACACACACACACACTCTCACACCAAAATCCTTGGGCACACGCACACTCTGAGACACTGGCAGACATTTTGACGTGGCAAGTCGGCGGCTGTGCTGGGCTGTGCCTCCCAATTTAAGGCCCTAAATCCTTTATTCAATTTTTAGCCCGATGAGCATGCAGCGCGATAAGCGCGTCACTGGCAAAGCCAAACGGATTTTGAACATAAATAGGCATTGATTAGGGACCACGATAAGCCATATCTCTGAAAGTGGAGTGAGAGAATTACATATAAATCAGGTAAAACACACACACACACACACACATCAATCTAATCAAATTGTTGGCAATTGACTGGCAAGCAAATATGAAAATTATGCCATTGGCGTCCAACCGGCAACAATGACGGGCGTCGCCTGGCCTCCAACTGGCAATCGACTGGAATCGACTCGAATGGAAGCTGCTGCTGCAATTGACAGGCTTAGACCGAGCGAAGATGAGCTGGATGGGCACAGGAAGAGAGCTGGAAGCTGGGAGCCGGAAGCTGGCACACAACTAATTGGACATCCGTTTTCCTTTGCGATTATCGACTCGGAATAAGGGCAAGGGCAAGGTAAAGGTAGCCGCTCAAGTATTCTTACCATCTGCACTTCCCTTGTAAATTTTGTGCCACGTTATTAACGCCAGATTGAGTGAATGCCCGAGACGGAGGGCGGCAGGAGGCAGGAGGCCAAGACGCTTCTCGCCAGGAAGCGCTGCTAAAAGGTCGCCATGACTCCAACTCCAACATCGACTCCGACTCCGACATTGACTGGATTCTATTTAGCTGCAAGCTCGTTGTCCATGCCCGTGGGGAGCAGCACAAAAGCGAACGTTCAAATTGCCGGTGTCGTTTGGCTTGATTTAATTGAAGCCGATTACACAGCTGGATATGGCAGACCCGGCCAATCCCAGACACTGCCGCCAGCTGGCAGCCTCATTAGATCGATCCGTGTCCATGTCTGTGTCTGCGTTCGCGTCCATCTCCTAGTCCAGTTAATAAACGTGGTCCCGCTGTGATGACAACCCAGCAGTTGATGTAATTTCCCTTAGCGCTTGAATCTCATGTGCTAAACTTTTAAGTTGCACAAGCACAGCCGTTCCCTAAGCCGCTTAGTCGGAGATTTACCAGCGTCCACAACAAAGGCATGACAAGATCAATGGCCAGGCCAGGTCGTCTCCTCCTGCAAGTAAAAATCAAAAGTTTTCTCAATGGCAACCACTTCAAAAGCCGCCTTTCAAGTGCTGCAGTCACTGATTGTTTGTCACCTGGTCCTGAACTCGGGCGGCATTCATTAGCTGCCCGCATGCCACGTCCCGGCTGCCTGCCCCCACACCTTTTAAGTTGAGCACTCTTAAGCTAAATTAAGTTTTGATAATTCCTAATAATCTATTCAAGTAAGTTTTCAGAAATGTTTGTTCACTTTGCCGTCGCATCGAGTGGTGTGGCTTGTGGCTGTGCCAATGAGGAAGGGACAGAACCAAGGGAGTTGCTAGATGAGGTGGGCTTTTGTTGTTCCTCCTCCAGCCGCTCCCCTGCGACACACAACGGCCACAGTCAGTGCAAATTGAATTTTGAAATTTTCTTAGATTTGAATTGTTAGATAGCTGGCGACTTATTAGAATGGAATACACAAAACCACACGCAAAAGTTTTGCGGTGTGTCCGCCGCCTAGGCTGCACTGAACAAAATCGCTTATAGCCAAGATTAAAGATTCAAAGGGCAACCGGCGGGGCGGTGTTGCGCAGCTAGCAGTGAGACTCATTTGATGTTTCCGAAGGTTTTAATTGCACAATGACAATGCCTAGAGAGAGTGGCACAATTATTGCAATGATTTCAAGTGCTTTACAAACAGTACTTACATGTATGTAGATGTACATATGTGTATGTATTATACTGCGTAACCTGATATCTTAAGTTCTGAAAATAATTGAGGCCAATGATTGATTGCGCTGTATTCTTCCTCGTATTTATTATGCAAGTAAAAGTACACAGATAATAACTTCTTAAGAATTCCACGCAGTATGGACATATGCTGAAAATAATTATGTAAATACATATGTACATATGTGTGAGTATGAACCACTTGCCGCCGAAGGAATGCAAGCAGTTTGGTCCGATATTCTCCTTTAATACCAATTTCACTGATATTTTTCCTATTTTAAGTGATTTACATAATATCCGCCTGCACAGATTTTACACACGACGCCAATTAACACAAACAAACAATAGAAATCTGCAAGCTAGAATGTCGATAGGCATAATCGATCCAGGCAGACAGTTATCGAGAGCTGCCAACTTGTTTTTCTCTTGTAAAACGCGGGTCAAAACAACTTAAGATATTTTATGGTGCATTATTTAGTTGAGTCGCGTGGGATTTCTCGCCGTGTAATGGCTTTGAAAAACTTTGCAGCAGCAGCAGCAACTATTGTTGAAAAGTTTTCAATTGAGAATATTAATTTAGTCAATACATGTGGGTGCACGGGGAAGATCAGGCGGGCGGCAGCCAAACCAAAACAAACGGTAAAAGTTTTGTGGTTTCCACAACCGCCCCAAAAACCCAAAAGAGGCCAAAGCGAAGGCAAAGGCAGCTGAGCTCCGGCTCATCAGGCTGATGCTCTGGGGTCGACGGGGGCGACGGCTCACCTCAGGTAAGGTATAAAGAACTCTTGAGGGCGACAACGCGCCGGCATAATGTGGTTCTTGTGGCGCAATTCCTATTAGCAAGCGGAAGTATAATCAAGAACACACTTACTCCATCCACCCGAAACACACAGACATGCCAGCACCACCACCACCCAAGGCAAACCATCAGCGAGCAGCAGCAGCAACAGGAATAGAGTAGTAGGCGGAGCATGATGGCACACGCACTTTGGTCCAATTAGCCGTGTGTCCAACCAAATTGGCTGTGGGCCATGCTTTGTTGTGGCCGACAGTGTTGGGCCGCCATCGTCGTCGTCGTCGCCGTCGTTGTTGTCGTGTGCCACAAATGAAGTGGAGCCCCATCATCGGATGAGTTTTGGCGGATATTCTGCATACCAAGAGCCGTAATGCGGTCAGTTGTCACTTTGATCTGTTCGAAACAGGGAAAATAATGTGTACCAATCTTGTGTGTGTATATATGTATATACATATATAACAGAAATGGAATGCAGATCTTGTTCAGCCGCCGGGCACACTCCGTCTCCGGCTCTGGCAACGGCTCGACCTGGCTATCCGCACATGTGCACCTGGAGGGAATTAGCATACAACCAAACCATCCACCCGGCAACAGTGGGTGGCGGGGGGGCAGGTTATGAACATTGCGCTCATCATCAATGGCTGCAGGGCAAACTGAAGCAGCGGCAAGCGGCAGACGGCAGCTGTTCGGCCAGGTCGCCCCATACCCATATCCAGCACAGGCCAAGCATGGCCCACGGTGGATCTGTGTCCAAAAAATGTTTTCACCGGCATTTGCATGGTAAAACGGCAACATGGCCATGGTCATCGTCAGCTCCGAGTGTTGTACTACACTCAAAGTCCATTCAATCACACACACCATATACATACTCCGTATACCCGCTTGGGGACGGTAGAATCAAAGGATGGATGCTACGTGGATGCAAAGCCCGAGTAGCAAAACCTAAAACCCCAGTCCCTGTGCCTGTTCCTGTCCCATTCCCTGGCGCTGGCGCTGGGTCGCTGCGGACATCTTTGCCCAGCGGTAACAACTGTCCAATGCAGAGGCTACTCAGCTCACATTTGCTTTGTTTCACCATCCATCGTCCATTTGTCCAGGCGCAGGCAGGGATACAGCATACATACATATGAACATATGTGCATATGTGTGCGTGTGTCCATGTGGGAGCGGATGTTGGATAGGTGGATAGGAGTGGTCCGAGCGTAGCTTGTTTCCGGTACGGCACGCAGTGCAACACAACACGACAAAAGAAAAGCAAACTGGCGCCAGCAGTAAATTGAACTTTTGCATTTCAAGTGAAATCGCTCCAACAAAGCTTCAATGCTCCCTCCCAGGGCATCATCCCAGCAGCTAGAGCCGGAGCCGGAGCCATTTCCATCTCCCTGCGCACTGGATCCAAACCAAACCAAATCAAAATGTTGAAACAAAGGCATTCCAATGTAATACGCATGAAGAACAAAAAAAATAGAAGCTGGACCAGAAATGCGACTACCCAAATACCAAGGCAATGAAGATGTTGGAATCTTTTTCAAATTGAAGGTTCATTTGTTTGCCATAGCTGCGCCACCATGCAAATGCCGGTGAAAACATTTTTTGGACTCTGAAAAGAGAATCTCCTTTGTCTGCTCTTTGCTATAATCTGCGTTCTCCTTATACACATCTGGTGAGCCTTGTTTGTTTTTTCACTTATTTGGTTGTCAAATCACCATTCAAAATTGTAGTCCAACACCTATGAAGAGACGAAACAGGCGTAGTCCCGCTTCTCTTTCGGATTGTCAAGCGGCCGTCAATCCGAGCGGAGCCTCTGGAAGAAGCGCCAGCACCAAGATGTCTCGTCGGCGGCCAAAAAGTTCCACATTTCAAGTCTTTCGTGCTGGTGGTCCCAGCACCAGTCGAGCCGCCAGCAATTCTTCAGATGGCAGCCACAGCGATTCCACAATTTGCACATCTATTGCGAATCAGAATAGCATGTGCTACATGCATAACGATATGGGCAATCGTCGGAGGAGTCCGCTTTCGCCGCAGGAGACGGTGGCCAAAAATCGCGACAATATACACAGACTCGAGACGATCGTCGTGAGCCAAGAGATTCGCATTTGCGCCTTGGAAAAGAACTTCCACGATATTTGTAATGCGATAATACCGCAGAAGGCCCACAAATATGCAAGTCGCCCCACCTCGGCTGCATCAGATTCTGATGGCAATGCCAGAGGCAGAATCAACGATTCTCCATCTACTTCTCACGCAGCTAAGCATCGCCGTAGCCGACATATCTAGCAACACAAAGGGGCAAAGAAAAGCGAATTAAAAACAAACTTAAAAGGGACTAGTCCGGCTGAGCTCTTGTGCAACTTTGAATCAAGATTATCCCATGGTTAGTTTACCAATTTAGCCTTACCTTACTAAACCCAGCCAAAGCGGTAAATTATTGTCTATTATAATTCCACAGAGTCCCCTTCACCATCCAAAGAAAGTCTTAAACCAGCTGAACGTGCGAGTTGCGTGCGAGTTTCTGCAACCGAACTTTTTACTTTACGATCCTTGTCCGCTTGATGTTGGTACGTACACCTAAAATTTAGACCTTTATATTTCGAAAATAATATTTCGTTTCTTCTATTTTATGGTTTCTCTTTACTAACTTTTCAGCTTACACCCTTTACAGAAGCGCCCAAAAAAAAGTTAGCACTCTAAACGCGTTTACTCATATTTAAGATAGCAACGGGCAGCAAGAGCTGAAAGAGGAGGAGAAGCATAAGCCAGATTAAGTCTATGGCCACGCAGAAACCGCAAATACCCTCCCAAAGAGCACGGCGCGGACGCATTCAAAAAGCACTCACAGCAGCCAAAAGTAGGGCCTAATGGATCCATAAGACCTGCAGCCAGTAACAACATAATTCCGAGAAATACAAAATGCATTTGAATAGAGGATGCATATTGCAATGCATTGCGCTGCTGATGACTCTAAATCCTGATGTTAATTTGGCACCCGGCCCCATCTCCATTCTAAAAAGAAGTCCCCCAGCCATAAGGCCGAATTCAACAGAATTTAAAATTTTCTATAAACCTGCTAACTGGCTGCTCGTGGTCTCAGCACAGTCCACTGAACAAGGCGCCACATCAATAAGAATATTTAATATTGCTAATTGCATTATGCAGACACTAAGCAGTCGATTGATCGTTTGGGGAAAACGCGTGGCCAGCTGACAGAGAAAACCCCCAGCCAGCCACATGAACTTGTGAGCCAGCAAGAGCTGCATGCGGCTTAGTGGGCGATAAGGCGATACACAATAAGCGATTCCATCGATATGCAATCAGTCATAAGACTTGGAAGCTCCCGACGAACATGAACCTATTATGTAGATAAGAATTCGAGCTATAAAAGAGACCCGACGCGGTCATTAACCATTCACAGTCTACCCACCAACATAGTGAGCAATCGAAATGGCTTCCCAACTCTTCCTTGTGGCCCTCCTGGGCATCGCCCTAGTGAGCGCTACACCAGTGCCCCAGCAGGCTGGCAGTGCTAATTTCTCCTCGGCAATGGCCCGTTACTTGGAGGCCTTCAGGAGCATTATGCCTGCGGCTATGCCCCCCGACATCCCCGTGCTTGCTCCTATTATTAATACCTTCACCGGCTACAACATCTCCACCGACGACTACAGCCTAGTTGGAAATACCAGCAACATCCGTATCGAGGGCCTGAACAACTTCAAGATTCTGAGTGCCAGCGACTACGGCACCACCGGCGAGGCAGCCTACGACGTGATCTTCCCCAAGATCCAGATTCTGGGATCTTCCGAGGTCGAGGGTTGGATCAACTTTGGCGGCTTCCATCTGCCCATCCGCCAGCGCGCTGTGATCAATGAGGCCTTTGTGGATCTGCGCTTTGTGGGCAGCTACTCTTTTGCCAATAGCCTGACCAACTCCTCGGGTCTGCGCATCGTCGACTTCAAGCTGGCCATCTATCTGGCCGACGTTCAGTTGGACAACTGGAACACGCTGTGGAACATCTCCACCAACAACTTCTGGAACCGCTATAGCAAGCTCTTCCTTTCTCTTGGTCTGGAGGAGATCCAGCCACAGATCACCGACTACTTGTACCAGAACCTGCTCGTGCCGAAGATCAATGAGATTCTCGCCAACGTTAGCATGGAGGAATTGGTCAACTACTACCAGTCGCAGGCCCAGCTCTGGGAGAATGCCAACTGCCACGCTTAGATATCTCCCTTATATCAATCATATAAATATAAATGAGCAATTCAAAGCAGCAATTAAACTTTCTTTCTCCATTTAATAAAGTAAAGTAAAGGCCAGTCCAACTTCAACTTCTATATCCGTCATTTACCATAATAACGACATTATCGCGACTGCTGGATATCAGCAGTGGGTGGGTGGAAAAGTCAGTGCCAGAGTCATATATTAATCTCAATTAATATTCAAAATATATGGTAAATCAAAACAGGAACGGAATTGGGATATTTACTCACATATATACCTATAGTCACCCGATTTTGATTCCCTTTGGCTATCTCGGATCTTCAGAATCAAAATAATTTGTTCACGTGTTTTTTTTGTCCAGTCGTTCCCGTGCTAAATGACAGCGTTATATAAATTCATCTGATCCTACCCAACTCAATTATCTTGCTTTTTAAGATTGAAGAATTTGACAACCAATTTTTTTAAATTAAAGGAATTGTAGCAAAGAATCGGGTTATAGTATGTGTTGGAAGCTGCTGAGCTTATTCGGCCACTCTGACTCCACATCTACCAATTACGACTCACCGTAGTTCGATTTTAAAATAATTTTTTATTGTTAGATGGTTAAGAGGCCGTGACCGTGAACTTCGATTTAGGATGTTTAACTGTACAAATTTTAGTTTAGTTTTGTTTATTTCATAAACATATTCCTAACGCTACGGTATTGCTACTTTATGTTGATGCGTTAGCCACAAAGGGTTCACATACATAGATATATTTCAATCAATATGATTTACTTATTCTATTACAAATTTTATAAATATTATATTTATATATTAACATTTATTTATGGTTCTATTTTTATACCCGTACTCAAAAAAGAGTTAAGGGGTATATTAGATTTGTGGTAAAAGTGGATGTGTGTAACGCAGAGAAGGAAACGTTTCCCACCCCATAAAGTATATATATTCTTGATCAGCATCAATAGCCGAGTCGATAGAGCCATGTCTGTCTGTCCGTCTGTCCGTCCGTCCGTCTGTCCGTCTTGTTTGACGCCTGGATCTCAGAGACTAAAAGCTAGAGGAACCAAATTTTGTTTCCAGACTCATGTGATATCACACTGCTACAAGTGTATTTCAAAATTTCGCCACGCCCCCTTCCGCCCCCACAAAAGACGAAAATCTGTGGCAGGCACATTTTTAAAGATACGATAAAACTAAAAACGCATTATCGTAGAGAATGACCATATTTACCAGACTGCCGAATCTGAATCAGATCGGATCAAAAGTATAGCCAGAATGAAGAAATTAATTTTCAGTTGCTTTTTTTAATTCTAAAATTCTAAAAAATCATATGCTAGGGTAAGAGTCGCGTCTTTACAAGCGACTCGCACGTTCCTTCTCGTTGTATTATTAATTTTATTTATTTAAAATTATTTCTTTTATTTCTATTATGTATTTTTAAGTTTTTGTTTTGTAGTTATTTTTATTTTATTTATTTATGTTTAAGAGTTTTTTTTTTTTTTTTGGGTGTTTATATATATACTTAATATACTTAAATATACTTAATTTTAAGTAAACGAAAAGAAGTTGCGCGCTCGACTCCAATTCTAACTGGTAGCCGTTCGAAAATAATTTGACTGCGCGAGAAAAGGGCGAAGCACTGCAATATAAGAAGTAAGAAGGGTAAGGAAGGGTGTGCGTATATGTATGAATTGAGAGAATTTAAGAGAATTAGGATAGAAGATGCACGTATAAGAGACGAGATGATTGACTGTCTTAAGAGCTACTAAATTCTGCTGCTCCGAACTGTAACTGGTCATCTTTCCTCTGTCGCAATAATATTGCATTCGCAGATTAAAACATTGCGTATTTAACAGATTTTAAGTGGTAAAAAGTCTTTAGTTATCTATAAAGATCTAAGGATTCCATATGCTTTTTCGACTGATTTATTAATGTCAACGTTTGATTAAATATAAAACCCAAGTTATTAGCCGGATTAACATATTCAACAGGAATATTGTCAATGAATAATACTTGTAGTATGTCAGTGTGGAACCTATCTTTTACATATGACTTTAAATTTCGACTTATTTGGGGTTAATCCTAGGCCATTTGTGTTTTGCCCACTGACCTATATTGAATGCAACGAAGACAAATTAATTTTTAGAATTTCATACTATTTTATCTGTTTGCATACTTATCCTCTTTGAGTATCAGGCATAAAAATGGATATATTATTTCCACTGAAAAAAGAATTTCCCCCAGTGTTGCAGGGGAATTCAACTGAATTTTAAATTTAAATTAAAGCTCGGATCAGGCCACTGAAACTAGGGACCTCATCAATAAGAATATTCCAAGAACTGCTTCTGATATGGGAACAGAACTTACACGGCTTTTGATACTTGGCAGACATTAAGCAGTCGATGGATCGCTTGGGGAAAACGCGTGTCCAGCTGGCAGAGAAACCCCCGAACAGCCAGACGAGTCCGTGAGTCATGTGTGGGCGGCAAAAATATTAATGCGCCTTAATGGCGATAAGGCCAGACAACAACCGATCCCATCGATATGCAATCAATCATAAGACTTGAAGCTCCCATTAAACATAGAAACATTGGCTGAATAGATAAGAATTCGAGCTATAAAAGACACCCGACGCGGTCATTAACCATTCACAGTCTACCCACCAACAGAGTCAGCAATCGAAATGGCTTCCCAACTCTTCCTTGTGGCCCTCCTGGGCATCGCCCTAGTGAGCGCTACACCAGTGCCCCAGCAGGCTGGCAGTGCTAATTTCTCCTCGGCAATGGCCCGTTACTTGGAGGCCTTCAGGAGCATTATGCCCTGCGGCTATGCCCCCGACATCCCCGTGCTTGCTCCTATTATTAATACCTTCACCGGCTACAACATCTCCACCGACGACTACAGCCTAGTTGGAAATACCAGCAACATCCGTATCGAGGGCCTGAACAACTTCAAGATTCTGAGTGCCAGCGACTACGGCACCACCGGCGAGGCAGCATACGACGTGATCTTCCCCAAGATCCAGATTCTGGGATCTTCCGAGGTCGAGGGTTGGATCAACTTTGGCGGCTACCATCTGCCCATCCGCCAGCGCGCTGTGATCAACGAGGCCTTTGTGGATCTGCGCTTTGTGGGCAGCTACTCTTTTGCCAATAGCCTGACCAACTCCTCGGGTCTGCGCATCGTCGACTTCAAGCTGGCCATCTATCTGGCCGACGTTCAGTTGGACAACTGGAACACGCTGTGGAACATCTCCACCAACAACTTCTGGAACCGCTATAGCAAGCTCTTCCTTTCTCTTGGTCTGGAGGAGATCCAGCCACAGATCACCGACTACTTGTACCAGAACCTGCTCGTGCCGAAGATCAATGAGATTCTCGCCAACGTTAGCATGGAGGAATTGGTCAACTACTACCAGTCGCAGGCCCAGCTCTGGGAGAATGCCAACTGCCACGCTTAGATATCTCCCTTATATCAATCATATAAATATAAATGAGCAATTCAAAGCAGCAATTAAACTTTCTTTCTCCATTTAATAAAGTAAAGTAAAGGCCAGTCCAACTTCAACTTCTATATCCGTCATTTACCATAATAACGACATTATCGCGACTGCTGGATATCAGCAGTGGGTGGGTGGAAAAGTCAGTGCCAGAGCCATATATTAATCTCAATTAATATTCAAAATATATGGTAAATCAAAACAGGAACGGAATTGGGATATTTACTCACACATATACCTATAGTCACCCGATTTTGATTCCCTTTGGCTATCTCGGATCTTCAGAATCAAAATAATTTGTTCACGTGTTTTTTTTGTCAAGTCGTTCCCGTGCTAAATGACAGCGTTATATAAATTCATCTGATCCTACCCAACTCAATTATCTTGCTTTTTAAGATTGAAGAATTTGACAACCAATTTTTTTTTAATTGAAGGAATTGTAGCAAAGAATCGGGTTATAGTATGTGTTGGAAGCTGCTGAGCTTATTCGGCCACTCTGACTCCACATCTACCAATTACGACTCACCGTAGTTCGATTTTAAAATAATTTTTTATTGTTAGATGGTTAAGAGGCCGTGACCGTGAACTTCGATTTAGGATGTTTAACTGTACAAATTTTAGTTTAGTTTAGTTTAGTTTATTTCATAAACATATTCCTAACGCTACGGTATTGCTACTTTATGTTGATGCGTTAGCCACAAAGGGTTCACATACATAGATATATTTCAATCAATATGATTTACTTATTCTATTACAAATTTTATAAATATTATATTTATATATTAACATTTATTTATGGTTCTATTTTTATACCCGTACTCAAAAAAGAGTTAAGGGGTATATTAGATTTGTGGTAAAAGTGGATGTGTGTAACGCAGAGAAGGAAACGTTTCCCACCCCATAAAGTATATATATTCTTGATCAGCATCAATAGCCGAGTCGATAGAGCCATGTCTGTCTGTCCGTCTGTCCGTCCGTCCGTCCGTCTGTCCGTCCGTCTTGTTTGACGCCTGGATCTCAGAGACTATAAAAGCTAGAGGAACCAAATTTTGTTTCCAGACTCATGTGATATCACAATTTCACCACGCCCCCTTCCGCCCCCACAAAAGACGAAAATCTGTGGCAGGCACATTTTTAAAGATACGATAAAACTAAAAACGCATTATCGTAGAGAATGACCATATTTACCAGACTGCCGAATCTGAATCAGATCGGATGAAAATTATAGCCAGAATGAAGAAATTAATTTTCAGTTGTTTTTTTTAATTCTAAAATTCTAAAAAATCATATGCTTAAAAATGTGAATACTGACTGAGTACGGGTATAAGTAGAGTCGCGTCTTTACAAGCGACTCGCACGTTCCTTCTCGTTGTATTATTAATTTTATTTATTTAAAATTATTTCTTTTATTTCTATTATGTATTTTTAAGTTTTTGTTTTGTAGTTATTTTTATTTTATTTATTTATGTTTAAGAGTATTTTTTTTTTTTTTTTGTTTATATATATACTTAATATACTTAAATATACTTAATTTTAAGTAAGCGAAAAGAAGTTGCGCGCTCGACTCCAATTCTAACTGGTAGCCGTTCGAAAATAATTTGACTGCGCGAGAAAAGGGCGAAGCACTGCAATATAAGAAGTAAGAAGGGTAAGGAAGGGTGTGCGTATATGTATGCATTGAGAGAATTTAAGAGAATTAGGATAGAAGATGCACGTATAAGAGACGAGATGATTGACTGTCTTAAGAGCTACTAAATTCTGCTGCTCCGAACTGTAACTGGTCATCTTTCCTCTGTCGCAATAATATTGCATTCGCAGATTAAAACATTGCGTATTTAACAGATTTTAAGTGGTAAAAAGTCTTTAGTTATATATAAAGATCTAAGGATTCCATATGCTTTTTCGACTGATTTATTAATGTCAACGTTTGATTAAATATAAAACCCAAGTTATTAGCCGGATTAACATATTCAACAGGAATATTGTCAATGAATAATACTTGTAGTATGTCAGTGTGGAACCTATCTTTTACATATGACTTTAAATTTCGACTTATTTGGGGTTAATCCTAGCCCATTTGTGTTTTGCCCACTGACCTATATTGAATGCAACGAAGACAAATTAATTTTTAGAATTTCATACTATTTTATCTGTTTGCATACTTATCCTCTTTGAGTATCAGGCATAAAAATGGATGTATTATTTCCACTGAAAAAAGAATTTCCCCCAGTGTTGCAGGGGAATTCAACTGAATTTTAAATTTAAATTAAAGCTCGGATCAGGCCACTGGAACTAGGGACCTCATCAATAAGAATATTCCAAGAACTGCTTCTGATATGGGAACAGAACTTACACGGCTTTTGATACTTGGCAGACATTAAGCAGTCGATGGATCGCTTGGGGAAAACGCGTGTCCAGCTGGCAGAGAAACCCCCGAACAGCCAGACGAGTCCGTGAGTCATGTGTGGGCGGCAGAAATATTAATGCGCCTTAATGGCGATAAGGCCAGACAACAACCGATTCCATCGATATGCAATCAATCATAAGACTTGAAGCTCCCATTAAACATAGAAACATTGGCTGAATAGATAAGAATTCGAGCTATAAAAGACACCCGACGCGGTCATTAACCATTCACAGTCTACCCACCAACAGAGTCAGCAATCGAAATGGCTTCCCAACTCTTCCTTGTGGCCCTCCTGGGCATCGCCCTAGTGAGCGCTACACCAGTGCCCCAGCAGGCTGGCAGTGCTAATTTCTCCTCGGCAATGGCCCGTTACTTGGAGGCCTTCAGGAGCATTATGCCCTGCGGCTATGCCCCCGACATCCCCGTGCTTGCTCCTATTATTAATACCTTCACCGGCTACAACATCTCCACCGACGACTACAGCCTAGTTGGAAATACCAGCAACATCCGTATCGAGGGCCTGAACAACTTCAAGATTCTGAGTGCCAGCGACTACGGCACCACCGGCGAGGCAGCATACGACGTGATCTTCCCCAAGATCCAGATTCTGGGATCTTCCGAGGTCGAGGGTTGGATCAACTTTGGCGGCTTCCATCTGCCCATCCGCCAGCGCGCTGTGATCAATGAGGCCTTTGTGGATCTGCGCTTTGTGGGCAGCTACTCTTTTGCCAATAGCCTGACCAACTCCTCGGGTCTGCGCATCGTCGACTTCAAGCTGGCCATCTATCTGGCCGACGTTCAGTTGGACAACTGGAACACGCTGTGGAACATCTCCACCAACAACTTCTGGAACCGCTATAGCAAGCTCTTCCTTTCTCTTGGTCTGGAGGAGATCCAGCCACAGATCACCGACTACTTGTACCAGAACCTGCTCGTGCCAAAGATCAATGAGATGCTCGCCAACGTCAGCATGGAGGAATTGGTCAACTACTACCAGTCGCAGGCCCAGCTCTGGGAGAATGCCAACTGCCAGGCTTAGGTGCATTCAATTACTTAAATATAAATGATAGCAAAGCAACAATTCAACAGCATTTCGCATTTTAATGAGCATAGATGCAGTACAACTGAAATTCGATATCAGTCATTTTGCGATAATTACGATAATGGAACTACTGCTGGACATGTTGGGGCTGGCCTAACAATGTGTCAGTGGAAGGGCCAGTACAGGGCAGGGTGCAGTGGCCATAAATCTCAATTAATATTCAACATATTTGGTGAATCAAAACAGGAACCGGACTGGAATCGGTCGTCTACTTCATCATTTGCGGCTCCTTCTCCAACTGAATTCGTCATTCGCTGTTGCTCTTGTAATCCGCTTAAGTAACTCGAACAGCAGCGGAAACCGGAAATGAAAACCATACAGTACGAAGCGCGAGTGGGGGGCAAGGCAGGACAAGGTAAGGAACACGTAGAAGACTGAAGGCGAACCCGGAACGAGTTTTGGTTTGGTTTGGGTGGAGCTGGGGTCTGGGGTCTGGGTCTGGGTCAGGCAAGCAACTTCCGCTGCCGTTGCTCGCTTTTTCCACAGCGCACAAAAAGAAAGGCTTTCCTTACACACAGACACACAGAGGGAGGAAGAGAGAGAGAGAGAGGGTTACCAGGAAGGAAGGAGTCGGGAAGGAATCATGGCTCTTAAGCTGCACCGGAAATGAAGAATTGCTGCTCCACTCGCAGCGACAGATTCGGTGGTCGTCACAGGTTGACTGACACATACCCCAAGACAGACACAACCGCACTGAGTGGCCATGGCCCCGTCGAAAATGTTGTAACATTCTGCTCCACTGCTGGCCTGACTTTTCTGCTCCTGGCCTGTTTTTAAGTGCGCTCGTAATATTGGGTTGAGTGTGGAAATTTAGGATGGGGAAGGCCAAACAGTAAATGGCTTTTTCACATTGCGGTTTTCCGCTCATTGCTCGGGTTCGTTGGCCATCAGCCAGCGCCAGCGCCACTGCCCAACATCTGTCGCTACATCCGTTCCGCAGCCTCTAAACCGCAGCGCCGCGGCGCTACCAAGTCCATTGTGCCATTATCAATTATTCAGTTTGTGCAAAATGTATAAATTAAAATCCCAAGCAGCTCTGATGATCCCACAATCAGGCTTAACTCTTGCTGGCTGGCTGGCTCGCATTTACCTACCGATTTTAGGTCAGCACTATGCTTCAGCAGACTATTTATCGGGGATTGGACCCCATTAATGTAATACCATTCCGGCTAATTGTTGCAGAATAAATAAAACCTTTAACAAATTTATGATAACAGCTTCCATTTGTGTATTTTAATTACCCGCATCATATATGTACATACATGTACATACTCCGTATTATTTCACTGAGTTCCCATTGAATTTCTATCATTTTATTGCATAATTATTATTCAGGTGTTTACATTATTAAACTGTTCATGCCAAACACAAAGACAAATATATTTCCCATTTTTATTCTGCTGTTCAATCATCAATTCAATGCTTCAATCATCGGCTGGACATCAAAAATAGTTCATAATTCATTAATTAATTATTCTCTAAATGGTGCAACAATAATGATAATTAAAACCAAATATAAAAAAATGTTTGTTTACATTTTTAAATACTTTTTTTTTGTCCTTCGAGTTTATTATTTAATAGATTGGTTTTTTTGTAATGCTTTTTTGTCGTTTGTTTGCGTGGAGTACATAGAACATTAATTATTTGTGATGGACACGTTGGATGATATGGAGGCAGAGCAGGGAATGGTTTGCGATTCGGTATCGATATAACAAAAACTCAAATAAATGGCGTATGGTTTTTTAAGGCTCTTCTCTCACCTCACAGGGATTATTCATATATTATAGGTATATTTGTTTAAAGCTTTTCGGACATTGTCTTTCACAGACATTCACCCAAAACACACTCACACTCATCCACACACACACACACATACACAACTCCAGTGTGCCACTGCCATTGTTCTAGTAATTATGCTTTCTTTTAGCGGTACTTTATAACATTTAAACAAACAACATTCAATCTTTCCGTTTTAGGTTTTCGATTTTTCTGGGTTCGATTAGTCATACGAGTAGGTAGGTAAGGTAGTTATTCGAATCGCTTTGCGCGTGGGCTAGGGTGGTTAGATTATCAATCAATGTTCGATTTCGATTTCACATATTCTACATATACATATACATATATATGTACATATATATATATATATTTATATCGGTGTATAGTACTATGTTACTATGTTAGTTCTGGTAGGTACTTGTAATACATACATTTCATATCATATCATATCTCATATCTTATAGCATTTCAACTATCGTGGGTTCCTTCTCTGTGCGTGGGCTAGGCGAACAGCACATAATGCTCGGTAATTAATTATATATATAAATAACTATCTGTAGCTGTATCTTATACCCTATATCTGTATAATTAATTATTACACATTAAACATTTATCAAATTGAATGCATTTTGGTACTAGATAAAAAATGTACTTTAAAAAATAAAATTAATTCAATTTCCTCATCTGTTTTTTGTGTTTTGTTGTTTTTGTTTTGTTTTTGTTTCGTGCAGGCTACAAAAGGGTTCCATTCGTTTTCGTAGGGGTTCTCCACCGACTTATATGTGTATGTATGAAATATATAAAAAGGTATTATAAAAACTTTACAAATAATGTTTGAAAATTGGATTTATATTTTGTTCGAGACTAATTTCTTAAGCTGATCTGAAGGATACTCTATTCGTGGGCACATGCTGTGGCTATGGCTTAAATGCTTTACTATACACTCCCCCGTTCTGTTCTTCTGATGTATATTTACTATATATATTCACATATAAATATTTTAATATTCCACATATTCTACATATACATTTAAATTGCTCTATATATTTTGTTCAATTACTTGTTGTCATATTGTTTCCATTTTAACCAGTTTGTAATGCACAATTCATGTAAATTACCTCCCTCGTTTTTGTTTTTGTTTTTCTTGTTTGTTTCAGTTTCAATCATTTTGTCACATTCTAAAAAACATTCTAACAAACCCGCACGTTCGGTGTGAACACGCTTTATAAAAATGCACTTTAAAATATGTTCATATGGATATCTACACATACACATCATATAGTTTCTGCTGTTTCTTTCGGTCACGGCTGGTGGGTGTGGGGGGCACTAAAAACAAATTCGCGCTAATGTTCGCATTAAAAAGCCTTATATTAGGTTATTTTTTATATTTTTTTTTGTATCAATTTTTACTTGTCCTAAGCGTATCTAGAATTTTTAAGTAATTTTAATTTTTATCATATAGTTCATTCGTAGCAGGCGCCGCCCATAAATGAAAGGAACCAAATTTATACACTTTTTACTTTTCATTGAAAAGGCTGTCATAAAAATATATATAGTGGAACCAATTCCAATTTGTGTTTGTGTTTCTGAAGTAATGTGCGTTTTTCGTTTCCTTAATTTCGATTACGGACATAGCCAATTAGGAGAGCAGAACTCATATCATTCCCTGCATTGGGTAGAACACATTCCAACAAACCCATACGATCTGTGTGAACGTACAGAACTTGCATAAACGTTGCATCGCATGTGAGTTATATTGAATTACATTTCAGCTATTAAGTTCCAAGTTCGATTTGCAAAAATTACCAAAATCATACAGAATTTTTTGCTATTTTTTAACAAATTAGTTTCCTTGCATTTTATTCCTTTCTAATTACATAAATTATTCTTTACACATAAGCATAGTGCTTGGGCGTTTCATTCTGCTGCTGCTGCTGTTGCTGCTGTATTCAACTCAAAAGGGAAAACATAATCCGAATTGGCTGCATTTAAAGCTTTTAAAATATTGCTGTGCTCCGATAGGACCACCACAACGACAGGTCAAACAACTTGCCGCTGTGCTAGCCCCATAAATCTCAGCTTAATGTCATACATGGGTGGAGTTTGTTGTGTGCGCGCATATTTCGATTGTTAAGTGTAGGCATAAATGACAGATTTTTGTGGTTCGAAGTTAAATAAATATAAGTTTTGTGCATTCTTTCAACTGTTGCAGGCTTTTGTGTGGGTTGTGTGTGTGTAAATTACATGGTGTATCTGTTTTGTGTGTGAGTGTTGTTTTGTGTGGTCATGTGTGTGTCTGTGTGTGTGTGTATAGTTTGTGTATTTGTTAAACAATTTCACATTTTAAAATTCGTACACTTTCAGCTTAACTCTATAGATACTAGAACGTATGGCCCTACACATATCAAATAGCTTACACCAAAACTATTTACCGTGGCTATTGGCTACTGTATAAAACTTTACATTAGGCGGCTGCGCGAATTTCTCATATATGATACAAAATGCCGAAAACTGACGTATTCAATATGTTGGACAATCAAAGTTACATATTTTGTATGCGCGTATGCGTATATAACATATCTAAAGACCGATCAAGTACTGCCAGTGCTGCCACTAGGCTCGACTACAATGTGACCGAAAATCTAGGGGGACGGGACACCAGCCGGCAGCGATCTAGGCCTCCGTTTCGGCGCCCTTCAGACGCAAGCGGGCAAAGTCCTCGAATATGATGTCATCATCCTGCGCCTCCTCATCGTCCAGCTGGATCAGATTGGTGGTGGTGGGCACATCCTGTTGTCCCTGCTCGCCAACCGATCCCGAGGCGCCGTCCTCATTCGCATCGCCCAAGGTGAGCAGCGGCGCCGCCAAGCTGGCCCGCGGCGATCTCTCGCCCAGCAGCAGTGGTGGCTCCTCCTCCTCGGGCTTGGGGTGCATTAGCGTGAACGGCAGCTCGGCAACCAAGTCGCCATTCAGCAGCGGCGAGCTGATTAGCAGCTTAACCTTGACCTTGTAGTGGACCATAATGCCGAGACTCTCGCGCTGGGCGGGATTGGTGATGAGCGTGCTCGACGCCAAATTTGTGTCCTCGTGCTTCAGCTGTCCGTCGAGGGCCAGGCCCCATTTGTCCTTGTTGTTGGCCAGCATTGGGCACAGCTCAAAGACCTTGGACAGGGTGAAGCCCGGCGCCACCTGGCATCCATCCTCCGACTCGATCTCGGCCACAACGGACTTGTACTGGGCCGTCGAGAACAGGCAAATATCGGCAAATTGACGCACACACACCTTGATCTTCTTGACCGTTCGATTGGAATTGTTGGCCACATGCACATTGATCGATATCTTCTCGCCATGATGGTACAGCTCCTTGTCCAGACTAGCCTCCAGATGGATCTTATTCGGCTTCATCATGAACTCCTTGCTCACCTCAATTGATGGCTGCTCCCCGGCCTTGGATGGCGCGTACATCACCTTCCGTATGGTTAGGCGTACCGAGTTCCGTTTGTGTGGCTTGTCCTCGACGTGTTCACCTAATGTAGGGATACACATAATTAGTATAAGCCTCTGGGCTATATTCACTTGACTGCAATAATATCATGTGACGTGACGTATGCATATTTGGCTTGGGGGTGTGTCATATATGCCTAATGCTTGTGTGTGTGTGTGTTTCTGACTATGCTTAGAGTTATTTGCGTCATAGATGGACGGATGGTAGGCGTTGGCATTGTAACCAGATGAATCAGTTATACAAAGATCCCTCCCCCCCCCTAAACAAATTCCGGGAATCTACATACAAGGGCATAGCGACAAGAGATGGTTTAGAGCCAGATACAGCCAGAGACAGCTCAATGCCAAGATATTTCGGTTTGGTTTTTGTTGTTGTTTCCCCCAATTGAACGGAATGAAATGCTTTCCAAATTGAAGATCGTAAATCGTGCCGCGTCAAGAGGGGCAGAGTTAATTGTTTATGCCAAAAACATGGAGGCAAAAGCACATTAAATAAACAAATCAACAAACGCCAAGTAAATAAGAAAAATGGAATGGCTGTCTAGCTTTTGAAATGCCGAAACTTGAAATACCCTAGCGGTTAGATAGATCCGATTTTTGGTAGGTTCTTGCTGCTGTCAGCAATAAGCAGAGGGTACGTCCAAAGTTTCAACTTAGCAACAGCCTGGCACAGCAATAAATTTTGTTTGTTAATGCCGATCAGCACTATTTATTTGTATAAATTATAGAGTAGGAAATGCTCCTACTTCAGTGCTAATCAAAATACCCTCTGCTGGGCATAGAAGCTGCCAGATGATATCCCAGCTATCCAGAGTGGGTGTGATGGGAATAATTCATTCGAAAATCTCACATTTAGTGCATTGCAACAGTAGCCTAGCCCAGCCTAACCTATCTGCCTATCTATTTCTATATGTACATACGTTTATACATACATATGCCAAGGCCCACCCAAATGCCAATTGGGATCGCCACCGTCCCGCTCTTTCATTAATCTCTTTATGGCCGCACACAAATTGGCAGCGCCGTCGCAACCAGATAAGAATGAGCGCCCGCAGGCAGCCCAAAATTAACGGACAAAAGGCAGCAAGCAGATAGCAATGTAATCCAAGTGCAAGCGAGATGGCCAGCCAGGATGGGGCTTGTGTGGTGGAGGAGAGTGTGCGGAAGGTGTGCGATTGCCAGTGCGCGTGCGAAACGCAAATATGCGCGCGTAACTTCCATAAATCGCAGCTAATTTTTTCGCTGAACAAGCGGCAATCGTATATTGCTGTTAACTTATTATTATTACAAATAAGGAAAGGGGAGAACCGCTCTACGTTTTAAGCTTTTGCAAGCAAAAAAAACCCATTGCCCCCCCCCGTCCTTCACACGCTTCCAAGAATCAATTGAGTATTTAATTTTTTTTGTTTTTTGGGGGAGGAGCATTGTGGAAAACGTCAGCAAAGTCAACGGGAGCGGCGGTGGAAGTGGCAATGGCAGCAGCGTTAGCGGTAGCGGCGCCTAATTAAAGCCAACAACAATATCTCTCGCTCTCTACTGGTGATACAAGCACAGTCGACTGAGTAGAGTCCGATTCCAATTAGAAGCGTCGAATTCCAATTAGGTGGGACGCTGCGTCATCAAACCTCCAATGACATTTTTGCGCGCAGTCCCCGCTGCCGCTCCATGTAGACGTAGCTGGATTAATTAACCCCGCGTGTCCGCGTGACACATGCGCCACATACATACATACATACATGGGCTACGCTACTGTGGAATGTGGAAATGTACATATTTATGCATGTATTGACAATGCCTGCGTAGCGCTGCCTGCTGCCTGCCGCTGTTGCAGTCGCTGCTCATCAATGATTTTGACTTTGCCTGACCGGAGCAGCAACAAACACACCCACACACACACACACGCCAATGTATGTAGACACATTTAGTACATTAATAATGGACGCAACGACGCAAGCCCTCGCAAGCCTGCCGCCAGCCATATGCCAAAGACTCACCCACAAATGCTTTCAGCTCGTAATCCACACCACAAGACTTGCCCACATCTCCGGGGGCCGGCTGCAAGGACACCGAGGCGGGGCAGTAGGGTGGAACTTCAAAGTAGAACGGATGTGCATTGGGGCCCAGCTTTTTAATCAGCCGCTCCTGAAGACGGGTCATCGGGCGTTCCAGTTGCATGGGCGGGTAGATTTGCTCATGCGCTAAATACAGGTCCTTGCGGAATGTCAGCCCTAGGACGTCCAGGTCCTCGCGACCATAGCGAAAGGCGGCCAGCACCTGGCCAAACACCTTGCGATCCTTGACATACTCGGGATCGATGAAGACCACTCCGTCTATGGGATCTACGTGCGTCACATGGTCCACAAAGTCCCGTTTGCCCAGATACACGGTGATTTTGCCATTGGACGAACTCTTCTTGAAAACACGAGTCGCCTGCCGCCGTGAGCTGGCATCGCCGCCAGCCTCGTCGAGGCCACCGCCCCCGCCGCCATCGCCTGCAGTGCCGGCCGCTGTGACATTTGTGCTGGATCCGTTGCCGTTACCATTACCGTTGCCTGTCGTTGATATGGCCGTTGTGGAGCCACCGCTGGCTGCTCCGTTTGTGCTGGGGCTCAGTGTGTTCATTGTAGTCGTCGACGTTGTTCTGCCTGCTGCTGCTGCTGCTCAGTTCCTTGCCCTGTGCTGCTGCTGCGACTCCCTTGTTGCTACGTACGTCCCGTGGCTGTCTGTGGTTCCGGTCTGGTCTGGCCTGGTCTGTCTGTATCTGCCCCCAAATGTTAAGTCGCACACACGCTCTTTGTTTTTAGCACTCCTCGCACTTGGAACAATAAATATGTGCGTTGGTGCTGGTGCTGCAATTTAATTTTTTATGTGTATACTTTATCGCTTATCGATAAGCATTGTACAACATTTCTAGGGATGGGCGATACATCCGCATCTGGTACTGGTGACGATTAGTACATTCGCAATATGTAATTTTGCGCTGATAAGCGCTCGACACGCATTTTTTATTTCAGGAACCTTGCTAATTGCAACTTATATATAATGGCTAGAGACGATGACTTGTCCTAGAAGCTTCTCGCTAAATAAACAACAGATGATATATATCATCGCAAGGTAAACGGCTATCGATTCTAATTTATGGCGTTGCCATATCATTCGTGTCTTTGTATGGCGATTCAATTTTAATATAAAATCAGTTCACTCAATTTCCAGACCTTTATGATAATTTTTATACTTTCGGGCGCAATATTTTTTGACAATAATCGCAAAATCTGATTCAAATTAAAGCCAAGTAACCGCCGGCTATCGCACAAAAATACCGATAAATTGATATACATCGATATATTGCTATATAGACCATCCCTATTACCACGTGCGCTTTATTTCACTCAAACCACGCGTTGTGCACATTTTCGGCGACAAATTTGCTCGCAATCAATACATTTTTATTAGCCCGACTGACTGAAAATATTTTAACTAGCAAAATGGCACAAAAGAAACGCGCTGCAGCACCGGCAACGAAGTCCGAGAATGGTGTAAAGAAGCCAGCCGGCAACAAGCGCGGGCCAAAGGCAAAGGCTGCACAGGTCGACGAGGAGGTTTTGGCCACCCAAACGCAGACAAGGCAGTCCAAAAAGAAGCTAGAGCAACAAGTGGAGCAAAGCGAGGATGAGTCCGACTCCGAGGAGGAGCAGAGTGTCATCAAATTCGAGGATGGCAGCGATTCCGAGGTAAGTTGCAAAGACGGCCGCACGCCGCTTCTGAAAGAGCCGTAAGAAAAACCGCGTGTTTTGTGTTTTTTTTTTTCTTTGTAGGAAGAAAAGGTTGGAGATTTGATTGATGATGAAGCTGTCGAAGACGACGATGAGGATTCAGGGGATGATGATGATGAGGATGAGGATGAAGATGAAGATGCTGAGGACGAACCTGGTCAGGTGTCAAATTCAGGAAAACAACTTGCCGATTCCGATGACGATGCACCTGCTGAGGCGCCCATAGCCAAGAAGGGCAAGGCAGCTGCTCCAACAGCAGCTGCGGCGGCTTCACCCAAAAAGGGCGGCATTCCAAGCATCACGGTGGGCAAGATTCCAGCTGATATTCCCAAGGATCAGATTATTCATGTCTCCAACATACCCAATGGTACGTTATTTAAAAACTTTAATTCTAAGTTTAAACATTTTTGTAAATAATTTTTATTTAAAATTGCTTTTAACATTTGTTTCCAGAATACAAACATCTTGATTTGGTTGCTCTGTTCACCAAATTCGGGCCCCTCGCTGCTGTGAATCGCATCAAGGGAAAGACAGAGGGCAACACTGTCTTCATTGCCTTCGAGACATCCGCCGCGGCTGAGGCTGCTCTGGAAGCCAAGGAGAAGGCCTTGACATTCTATGGCAATGTTTTGGTAGTGGGACGGCCATTCAATAAGGATGATCTGAACAATCGCACTGTCGCCGTGGCACTCATTGGCCCCAAGACCACCAAAGAGCAGTTGTCGGCATTCTTCGGAAAGGTCGGTGATGTTGAGGCGGTCAACCTATCCAACAATCGCAGCAACCCAACGGCTTTCGTGCGTTTCAAGTCTGTGGATTCGATGCCCAAGGCTCTCAAGCTGCACGGCAGCGAGTTGAACTCTCGCTTCATTACCGTGCGCGAGCCCTCCTACAAGCTCAACTCGAAAAAGTCGCCCGAACGCACTCTGATCGTTGAGAATGGTGGCAAGCATGAGTCATTCAAATCCGATACTATTGAGAAGATCTTCAAGAAGTTCGGCGATATCGTGGACATTGATGTTGTGTGCACCAATCATGTCCTGGCCTTTGTCTCGTTCAAGGAGCCCGAGCAGGCCGCCAAGGCATTGCAGCAGCTCAATGGCAAGACTGTCAGCGATTTGGAGCTCAAATTGGAGCAATACACATTCAATACCTCGCCACGCACCGTACTGGTGACAAATCTTGCCGCAGGTGGGTTTTCATATCTATTTTGGCAGCACCTTTGGCTTATTAATATTTTGTCTTTTCGTGTGCAGATGTGACTGAGAGCGACCTGCAGGAATTGTTCAGCGAAAGCGGTAAGATCGATAACGTCACCCTGCTGTCACACAAGGCCCTGGTCAAATTCGCCACCAACGATGGCTTCTGCAAGTCCTTCCTGAGCAATGAGCGCATCTTGAAAAACCAGCCAGTATTCCTGGAGCCCAACTCGATGCTCAAGCATAAGCTGCTCAAAAAGAAGTCGACTCTAAATCGCAATGGCAATCGCAAGCCCGGTGCTCCCGGTGGCGACGGCCCACCCAAATTCAACAAGTTCGGCAAGAAGCCCTTCAACAAACGCCCAGCCCAGGACAACGGTGCAAAGCCAGCATGGAAGAAGGTCAAGAGGGAGGCCTAAACTTATTTTAGACTGCCTTAGTCTTAAGTTAAACCCCCCCTCCTCCCTTTAAGCCAATGCGAAATAGAGCATTGAATTTAGTCATTAAGTCTAGCGCCGTCATCTTGTTGTCGTCGCTTTTGCCCCCCCACACCCCATAAAAGATTTTGTATATTACCCGATGTAAGAGCTGCTCTGCCCGCCATTCACAGCACCGAGCCTAAAGCTAAATAATAAAAAAAAGAAGTGTCGAGTAAATGCAAAACAAACGTCTTTTGTCGTCTGCCCATAAAGGCTCTGGGCCAATTTCGAAAAAAATTGTTAAAAGTTGGTGCGAGAACGAATTGCAAATTACCAGCACGTACACAACGTACTCTGCGTATGGGTCTACGGGGGTACACTACACTCCTCTTTGCCCCTCCCCCCCTAAGACAAATGATTCATTACACTTTGCACACGATGTCGCCGGTCGAGTGATTCATGCAAGCCAACCAGCCAACCAGCCAACCAGCCAGCCAGCGCACTATACACGCAAACATTTTGATGGCCCTGCAGTGGCGCTCCCCATGGCCGGGGCCGTCCACCACTCGTAAGCCTCGTCTTTGTTCATGTCTTCTTGGCCACAATGCAAATGAGCAGAGGCGGTGGGCAGCGGCAGGGGGTCCAGGCCCAGGGGTCAGTTGCATTACTGAAGTGAGGGCTTGGCTAGGTCGGTCACTGGCCATAATGATGCCTCTTTGGAGGATTGCGTTGGGTGTGTTCTGTGACTCAAGGACTCTTGACTGATTGGAGAGCGCCTTGATGGGCAAATCGTTAGTAAAAGAAGGGGCAAAAAGTTGGTAAATAATTGTTGTATTTTTTTTGTATATTTAACATTTATTAGTAATAAATTTTCTGTATTTTCTGTAATATTTGTTTAATTTCAGTTTTGGTTTGTTCTGCTTTTGTCACTACTACACACAAATATGTTTGTTCTCGTTGACTGATATATTGTACGGTATAGATAGATGGTATGTATATCGGTATATATAGCATATGTATGTATGTATGTATTTCTTGTATATTTTTATTTCCTTTTCTTTTTTGTATATGTGTAATTTGATAAATTATATGTATTAGTTTTTTGTTCTCATTTAGTTTGTTTAGCTGTTTTTAGTATCTCTCTGCTGCCTTTCTCTTTAAATATATATTTTTAGTTTTATTTAATTATATTTTGTTTAGAGTTTTTCCATGCATGTATAATATATTTGTGTAAATATATATGTGTATAAAAAAAGGAAATGTTCCCTGGTCCGAGAGCCAAGGCCTAAATGCAACGGAAATTAAATTCCAGCCAGCCAGATGAGCAGCGGGGGCCCCTGATCCGTACCGTCCGTTCCGAACCCCACGGGCAGTATTGGTTATGAATCACTTAATCAGTCTCTCTTCGAACTAGACGATAATTGTTGTTGGTCTGAGTGGTTTTTGGGGGCTGGGTACTACTACGTCTACGTCTGGCTAATTCAAGCACAACTAATTGCAGCCGTGAAGGTCTTTGACTTGGGGGCTGGATAGGATATCAGGGTTGCAAAAGGGGTAAAGTCTCGTATGTCTCAATGCTGCTTTCGACTCTTAACTGTTTCCATTCATAGATATAATGTAATAATTATCATAATTTAGCTTATGCTTTAGTTAGCAAATTACTAGTAATAAGGCAAATGAAAGTGAAGGGCACTGGGGGCGGGGCTGGGCAAACCAAATAGCGCAAAATCAACCAACTCTCTCTCTCTCTCTATCTATCTCTATCACTCTAAACAGCTACGAATACGAGTTAGATCGATAGATACGCACACATAGGGTTTATCTAAGTAATACTTATGTATGTATGTATGTATGTTTGGGTAGCATTTTTGTATATTTGATTTATATATTGTATGTTTAGAGGCAAAAACTTTCAACTCTAGCAACTTAATATCTAAAAACTGATCCATATCCCTTGGGAGTTACTCGGTAATGGGGGAGGAGGTCTTTACTTTCACAAAAGCAGGCAAAATTGGTTTTCTCAATACAATAAATTCGAGTCGTTGACGATTTGGTATCTCTCATTCCACATATACACATACATATATCATATATGTATGTATTTTTGTAGTTCTATAACCAAAAGAAAAAAGTATAAACTAAAACAATTAATATATAAAATAAAACAAATCAAAAGATGTAATTTTTCCTTTTTAAGTATTTTTTTTTGTTCGTTTTTGTTTAATTTTTAATTGGTAATATCGTTTTAAACATATAGTATATGTATAGAGAGAGTGTCTGTGTGTGTGCATGTGCTTTTAAAGTGGGGGACTGGTGCTATAGCGTTACATTAAATGTTCGTTCTGATAATTGTTGCTGATTGTTTCACTTTAACAAATTAAAAAATAATAATACAATTTAACCACTTCCCTGGTAGCAATGAACAAAAAACGGCTTTTAAAATGTCTTAAAACAGAAAACTTTTGGAGATTTTTTTTTTTTTTTTTTTGTTTGCTGTAATATAATAATACACTGGGTTAAGATTTGTTTGTTGCACATCTCTTTTTTTTAGCAACCTGAAAGAACATTCCAATTTATGCTCTTAATAGTTTCGTGTATGGTTTTTTTTTTTTGGGAGTGGTTTAAGTAAACTTGGAGGAACGTATACAAAATAATTTTAAATCAATTAATTTTATGTGCTTGGAGGACAATTAAAAAACACATCAATTCTTGGATTCATTAGTAATATTATAAGTTCGTTTTCTTATCGTTTTTAAATGGTTAGCAGTCTAACATTTCAGCTGCGCAAATTTTGTTTGCTTTTCTTTCTTGTTCGATTAGTTTTTGATTGTATTTATTTTTTTTTATTTCTGTTTTTTCCTATTAACTTGTTAGAACGCCGACTAATAGCTACAGTTATACTTGGATTTTTCATTTTTTTTTTTTCTTGTTCTTCCTACACGACATTTTTTCATAGTTTTATATGATTTTTTTTTTCCCTTTTTGACAATGTTTCTTATTTGTTTTTTTTTTGGGGGGCTTTTCCTTTCGTAATTGCGTTTTTTCTTTTCCTTTAAAAATTTTGAAGAAATGACAATTATTTGTGTGTGGGGTTTTTTTTTAGCGATGCGCATGGGTGCCGCCGTTCAGAGCAATACAAAAATTTCGCTTAGCACATGAGCAAAATAAAAAATAACAGAGCGTGTGAGGAACAATTGCTAAAAAAAACTGAAATAAATGAGCGAGAAAAAACAGAGCACACCATATAATCATTTTGCCACAGTAGTAAAAAAACCTTCACAAAATAGCACAAAACGTTACTTTCGCTCTGGGTTTTCGTTTTAATAAAATACATTTAATATATATAAATATCTATAAAGAAATCGAAATCGTAGTCGATATATAAATAGATCGGATCGATTGGGAGCATCGGCCTCGGGCCCACAATTCACAATTTGGGTTCGATTTTTTCTCTCTCTCAAAGTTTTTTCGCATTTTCATCCCCATCTTATTTTTTTCTTCTTTTGCTTTTCTGCTTATCCGCTCGCACAAAATACTTTCGCTTAATATGTTTATAATATTAGTAAAGTAGTTCTCGATTTTTCTCTCCCATTGGCGCTGCTCCCTTAGAAATCCAGCAGGGACACCTCAGCGGGTGGAGCTGCAGCTGCAGCTGGTGCCTGCTCCTGATCCTGGGATACTGGGAACACCACCTCCGGTACGACCTCTGGCTCATGTGATCCGTTGCCATTCTGGGTAATGGGCTGCTGTTCCTGTTGCTGCTGATCCTCTCCATTGGTGGCTGGGGCCGTCTCAGCCGGTACTGGTTTCCTAATCGGGGCCCCAGGATTGACAGCCTTCATCGGGGTGGGCACCTTGCGCGCCTTTATAGCGGCCGGAGAGGCTTTGGAAGCGGCTGCGGTTTCTTTGGCTTTCGGTTTCAGCGGTGTGGTGGCGGCGCTTCCGGTCGACTTCAGTGGCGATGCCCTGAGCGTGTTGTTGCTGGGCTTCAGGGGCGAAGACTTGCGCTGTGCTGTAGTCGTGGTCGAGCTCGGGGCCAACAGGGAGCGTCGCGTGGTGGTGGTGGTGGTGCTGCTGCTGGTGGTACCGCTGGCCGTCGAATGCGTGAACTTGGGTGCCGGGCGTGCTGTGAAAGTCTTTGTGGTCGATGTGGTAGTAGTTGTGGTGCCGCCTGTGCTGCTGCCGTTTCCTGTTGTGGCTGACTTCACGCGAGTGGTGGTGCTGCTGCCTGCGGTGCTCCTGCCCAGTCCATTGGTCGTCGGCTTTGTGGGACTACGAGCAGCGCTCAGCGAGGAAGCAGTCGTTGTGGAACCAGCAGAAGCCGTCTTGCGGACTGTGCCAGCGCCAGTAGTAGAGGCGGCGCTGCGAGGCGACGGCACCTTCGGCTTGGGTGCAGCAGCGCTGGTAGTGGGCGCCGAACGTGACTTGGCCAGGACAGCACTGCTGGCACCAGTGCCATTGGTCGAGGTCGGCTTGCGTGCCGTAAGGCTAGCGCCAGCAGCGCTGCGTGCGGCTGTCGTTGTGCTGGTCGTCGTCTTGGTCAAAGTGCTGCCCAAGGGCTTGCGGCTGGCCGGAGCTGTTGCTGGCCGTGCACTGGCTGTTGTGGTCCTGGGTGCCGGCTTGGCAGCAGCAGCAGCAGCAACTCCCACCGAGCTGGTCAACGGCTTGCGGGCCGTTGTCGCCGGTTTGGCAGCTGTCGATGCAGTTGAGGGCTTGGCGGCCACTGGTGCCGTGCGAGGGCGTGCGGCAGCCACCTTGGGTGCTGCGGCTGCTGCTGTTGTGGAGCTGCTCGTTGTTGTTTTCTTGATCGCAGCTGGGGCTGCTGGCTTGGGCTTGGAAGCGGCCGAAGTGGTTCCAGGTTTGGCAGCCGGCTTCTTGGCATCAGTGGGGCTTGGCTTGCCCTTGGCCTTTGCTGCGGCAACAGCTGTGCCGGCAACAGCGGCTGCAGCAGCAGCCACCACACCAACAGCGGCGACCACAGGTTCTGGCTGAATCTCAGGAAGAGTTTCGACAGTGGGCTGGGGCTCCTCTGCGACGGGTTCGCTGGCGGCCACCGGGATGGGCTCTTCTGCAGCCACTGGCTTATCCAGGTCCAGGTCAAATGCATGTGAAACGGGTTTAACTTCTTCGGAAATTACATCAGAGACGGGCAGCTCGGGCTCGGGCGGAGCTGGTGCCTCCACAGCTGGTTCAGCGAAGAGCAGCACCGATGGCTCCTTAAACTCCTCCTCCAGCAGAGCTGGCTCCGGGGTCGCGTTGCTCTCGAAGCCATTGAAAAAGGGTGCAGCAGCAGCCTCAGCTGGAGCCGCAGCAGCAACAAAGTCGGGGGTGGCAGCTGCTGGCTCAGGGCTAATCTTGTACTCCTCCTCGATGGGTTCCTCTTGCAATTGCAGCTCGTTGAAGTTTTCCTGTATTTCCGGTTGCTCAATAGCCGGCTGCTGCTCTTGGGCCACGATGACTTCCTCGGCCAAGTGTGCGGGCGTGAATGGCGCAGCAAATGGATTGATTCCCGGTGACGGGGCAAAGTCCTCCTCCTCCGCCTCCTCCTCCTCCACCTCCTCCTGGGCGCGTTGAGCCTCATAGCCGGAAGCTGCATTGAAGGCAGCGTACTCCTCCACCTGCGGAATGGCAAAAAAATACAAGTGGGTAGAAAAGATTATTAAGTGACGTGGAAGAGATTCGGAAGTGGGGGAGTGTGTGTGGAAGGGGAATTGGAAATGCTAGCACCACACCCCGAAGATGACTAAACCGAAATACAATTATCAGCAACATCTTCATCATCATCACCATGGCCGAAAGACAACAAAAAGAAGCATTTGGGAAGTGTCTGTGTCTGGGCTCATGCTCTCATGGCTCGCTGCTGCTGTCTCCCCACTGGAAATCCCCCGTCTTTCAACTTTTCTGTGCTGTTAAATCGATAAATGCAATGAGCCATCCGCCAGCGCCATTCCATTGGAAGACATCTTCCTTCGTTGCCGTCTCGTCTCCAGCTGGGGGCACACAGAAAATGGTGGCAAACAGTTTTCCCTCTGTGCGTTACTTATGGTATTATTGCTCATGCCTCGTAAAAATATCTGACAGATGCAGTGTACAGCAAGCAAAGTATTTTGGTTGGTTGGGCGGGTGGGGGAGCAAAATAAATCACATCATGCAGACAGACAGACGGACAAATTTCCAGCTAAGTAAATATGGAACAAAAAAGAATGAATATCATCTGTGTGTGTGTGTGCATGTGTATGCATGGCCCACATATATAAAAGTAAGTGGATGGAATATACATATATATATTTTTTAATGCAAGTGCCTAAAGCGACCGCGCCCCAAAGCAGGCAATATAAATACTTTTTTTTAGGTAGAATTTTTAACGAAAAGAAATCAACTAAAGTGCTTTTGAATGCTGGGTGCATGCGCCCCTGTTTTATTGAACAATCTTGCGTGACATGAATCGCGCATCGCATAATCGCATGGCTAACTGTAAAAGTAATCCCAAAATGTGGTACAAACTATTCGCAGAAAGTTAAGCAGCCCCCGTTTTCAGTTCAAGGAGAGCGAGCGGGCGTTGCACTCACCCCTCACGAGAGTAAAGTCAACTAAGGGGAGTGTCTGCTGCTCAGATGTCTACCAGGTCCAGGGGTTGACACGCACAGACACATTACTAATGCATACAAATTATGATAATGATGACATCAGCCCCAGAGAACATGTGAAAGTGAGAAAGCAGCCACAGCAGCAGCAACAGGAACAGCCCCCGCGAGTAAGGGGCGACAGATAGCGACGACAATGTCATGACAGTTGCTGGACAGTGTATTCTGGCCCACTGTATTACCCAGGCGCAGAGCAAAACCAGCGGTGACATGGCCAGGGCATACATACATACACGAAAAAAAAAAAAAAAAAACTAAAGATAGAGAAAGAAGGAGAAAAAAAACGTCGGATGACAGGAAACGTGTCAGTGACTTAGTAGTGTGACTCGACGTTAGTTTTGGCGCAGGGGAAAATGTAGCGTTAACATTTTTTCCGGCACTTTTCTTCTATGGCACGCAAAGACCCAGCCACACCACACCGCACCGCAGCACACATCGCATCGACCCACACCGCAGCCGCCACATAGCACCACGGCGGCAGAGAGCAGCGCGATCTGAAACTCTAAAATGTCATTGACCAGTAAATGCCACCAGTCGGGGGGGCCCAGTTCGTTTGCCAGGTCCATGGGTTGCCAGCCAGGTTGCCCGCTCCGCCTGTATTCCGTTGCCGCCCGGTTCGGTTGCCCACTTTTAGCCCACTCGCGCGCAATTGCTGGGCTGGTTGGACTTTCTTTTGTGGCTCTCCTCTCTCCACTGCTTTACTCTGCTTGGACTGTTGCTCAAGCGTAATGGGGTTAAAAGTGAGCTGAAGCGAATAAGTCAAAAAAAAAAAAAACAAACAAAAAAAACTAGTAGTAGAAGCAGCATGAAAGACAAAGCCCAGCTTAGTCGGAGCTCTCTCGAGACTTAGTTCCTACCTCCCATGACTCATCGTCGGCTGGGGCAAGGCGAACTAACATTTGCTAATCAATCATGACTAGCAATGATGTAATAATACGCATTTTAAAATAACTAAAAATAAGTAAGCCATTCCCCCACCCCCTTCCACTCCCTTTCAACTATCTTTCGCTGCTGTGTGTGCATTTTAATCGCCGCGATAATTGCTTGGTATTTTATCAGTGTGGAAGTTGATACAAGTTGGCAGCGCTCTCTCTCTCTCTTCTCTCTGGTCGCGATTGCCGGCCGGCCTGGCCGCCAGGCCCGCCCGATGTGTTAATTGAGTGTTTTGCTTTTTATTTTTGCACAAATAATCTATTTGGCCAACATACACTTTTGCACACTGTACAGTGGGCACACACAATGTATAACAGTTTGTACAATAAATTTGTGGTCCACTCAATGGGATTATGAAAGAGATTTCACTGTGCGTCAGTGTACCGCAAAACTTAAGTGTCCGACTCTCTCCCTCTCTCTGTTGCTCTGTCTATTTACAAATCATTTTGGCACTCGAAGAAGCCGGCAACAAAAATACATACATACGTATGTACATATAGAGAAACAGCTTGGGGGGCGAAACTATTGATACCCTGTTTTTCTTTGGCTGCTATGCCCATATATGTACGATATTTGATAGCTGATATAAAACCAATTTGGCTAAGCTCTGTACGGTTTATATTTATCAGGAATATATGTATGAATATAAAACTTTACGAGTTCCTTCTCTGCACGTAGTAAATATTTGCACAAAACCATAATACTCTCTCTCAGCGAGTATAACAATGGGTCTGGTCTCTCACACGCACTCATTGATTTGCTCAACAAGGCGTCAAGGGTCGCCGTCACCGGCACCGGCACTGCCGCTGGTTTGTGGGTGGTTTATGTTGGTGTGTGTGTTTGTTTGTTTTTTTTGTGTCTTTTGCCGCTTGCCAAAAGGCAACAAAGAACGCAACGATGACATCAACAATTTCTAGCTGCGGCGGCCTCTCATGCGAATTTTTGGCTTTGGATAATTTAAAAAAGTGCGCAGCAAATGAAGAAATTGCACGAAAGTTGACGTCAACTTGTGTGATTCAGAGAGAGAGAGAGAGATAGTAGAGAGAGTGATGTGGTCAGATGAGTGAGAGTGCGTCTGGGAGGCAGGTAAAAGAGAGCAAGAAGCACAAAAATCAAGTTCAACAGATGGTGTATGTATGTATGTACATATGTATGTATGCAGATTTGAAAGAACAGAGGGCGGAGGAGGAGGAGTAGGAGAATGATCGCATAGTCAGGACCGAAGCTAACTTTACGGTTGTTGTAGCATGAGCAATTGGTCGACTATAATTTTATACAGCGAGAGAATCGCACACAAACGTACAAGACAATTTATAGAGTCGCAAATTTTGTGCGCAAATACATACAACAACAACAAATCACTTGGTATTGAGTCGTCCATGTCTTTGCCGGTTTTGCGCCGCGTCCCTACGCCCCTGCCCCTGCCCCTGCCCATACTGCTGCTGCTGCTATGCGACATTCGACATTCAATGCGACGTCCGATCCAACGTTGTCGTCGTTGGCTGCCACACATGGCTCGTTAGACAGCCAAAACTGGGCACAATGAGCGCGGGGGGAGGGGAGGGGAAGAGGTGAAAATGAGAGAAGAGACAGACACACGCTCTAAGGAGGAAAGAGGAAAGAGGTAGGAGCCGCAATAGACCACAGAGTGGCCATTAGGTTTGTACAAAAATGGAATGCAATTGACAGTCGCTGCGCAGGGTCTCCGATCGGTCCAAGCTGTCAACCGTTTTTGGCCATGCACACGCATACACACGCTCATTCGCTAACCACACATATGTATACAAATATGCACACAATAATTATAATAATCAACAACAATACAAATAAAATAGCAAAATGTTCCACTGTCTTGTGTGCCGTTCCCTTTTCATACGCACAATTCGCCGCATTCGCCGCCTGTCTGATGATCCATGATGTTTTTTATGGTGACTCTTGATGATATGATCAGGGCATGCAGGGGGGGGGGTTGGGTTGGGTTAGAGGAGGCACACGCACTCTCGTAAGCGAGAAAGAGAGGCACACACTTTCCAAATACAATGCCAAATAAAGCGAAAAATTATTCTCTTTGCATTTTTATTTGACTTTGTGCATGTATTCCCTTATGGTTCATATGTGTTTGTGTGCGTGCGTAATGAAGTGTGGCTGCTGCTGCTGCTGTTTTGCTTCTATTGGGGGCTATTCTGTGTGGCTATGTAATTTCTATTTTTAAATACGCGAAAAAAAAAATGTTGACAAATCAAAAGGAAAAGAAGGAGAACATCCGAGACTTCGGGCAGCAGCGACTCATCGATGACCTGTAAACTCTGATTCATCCAGAGTTTTTTTTGCCAAATCTTCTCATCTTGTCGCTGGCGTGAGGGAAATACATAGATGCCCAATATGCCCCGCTCACCGCTGTTTTGTATGCAAACTTCCCTCACACTCACTCTCTGGTTGCATTTTGTATGTTTGCTGAATTCTCTTTCTCCATCGTTCCCCACTCGCGCTCTCTCTCCACCCTCTCTTTGTCTATCTATCCTGCATGGTTAACTGTGCCGCGGCAATTATGATGAGCAATAAATGTTGAAACTGTGTGGCAAGCAAACAACTGGCAGGCAACAGGCAACATGCAGTATGCCACATGCAACCAGAGAGGAACACGCAACATGCACAGCCAGGTTGGGCGCATGAGCATATATTCTATTGTTTCTACCTTTTTTTTAATTTTTCCTTTTTTTTTTTTGGGTAAATGCAGCCGCGGCTCATGTGCTGCTGCTGCTGTTGCTGCACATCATTAATCTCCCAATGGTGATTAATGGGAAAATGTTATATGTATTTTCATCATTCTTACACACAAAGTTACGGCTGCTGCTGCTGCGACTGCGCTGCAGTTGCGCTGAGGCATGAAGCAAATCCACCTTTTGTGCATTTTAATTAAGTTTTTTCCTAACATTATTATGTGTATACCCTGGAATAGGGTATTGTAATTCTGCTGATAAGAACTGGTGGGTAGGTGACACAAATTTATTATTTTACTTCTGCTGCTTGCCCTTTTATCC